TTACCCCAGAAATCATAAAGTTTTTATAAACAATTTAGAACCTCAAAAGCAGAGCTGAGCTTCTTATTCTTCCATTTCTTGTAGAACCTAGTCTAGGGCTTACATAAAATTGGCATTTCATAGCTACTTACTGAATGCATAAATAATTAATTTTATGGTAATTTTGTCTAATCTATGACCTATTGTTGTTGAGAGAAAGGGAGGTGATATACAATCACCTTAGAATTACCAGGTCTAGTTTTTGATTAATCCTGACAGGTGATGGTCAGAGCACAAGGAAAGAGCAATAACATGGAAGAAACAGTTACTTTCTCTGAGGAATACATACTTCGGAATGAAGATGTGTAGTGCTCACTTCAACCCTGAAAGAATTGAGCTCATCTATTTGCTTTGGATCCCATGTGGGATATCAGCTCTCAGGGCCTCTGAAAAGACACAGTGAATGAGCAGGGAATTTATCAGGAGTGCCTTTCTCCTTTGGATTAGTTTGTTTCCCTTCTTCTTCACTAAACATATTGGTTTTAAGGGCACTGTGTGAAATTTGTTCCATGGATTCCTTTTATTGCTAAAGTCAAGGCTCGCCTCAGACTATTCTTCATTTTCCTTCTAGGCCTTTCACCAGCCACTTAGGGACCGCCCACCCAACCAGTTAGTGTGTATTTCTCTCTTTTTTTATGTGACTCTGCATTTAGCCTTGGGCAGATTCACTGTCATGCTGTTGGGCACTTTCTTTTTCAGGGACAAGATGAAAAAGATTACCGATCTTTGTAGTGAGGAGTCTTTCTGTTCATTTTGGTATCTATGTATTGATGTTCTTTCTCTTTTCCTCTGTCAGGAAGAAAGAACATGAGTTGGACGGGCAGAAGAAGGTCACTTGCCTTCTTCTGCCTATTGATTTTCCTGTGCTATTCAGCGGTTCATTAGTTTCTCCTAACTACAGTTCTGCATTTAGCACCAGTTTGGGCTGGGACTTCAGCCACAGAGGGGGACTGACTGTGCCTCAGTCAGCTAGAGGTGGATTGGGAAGGTGACTTTCTGACAGTATGAGTGTGGGTGCTTTAGAATCAAATGCTGGTGTGGTTTTTGCTGGTCTTATGTTAGTGGTTTACTGTTTCTTACATGGGTAAGGGGCTAGACCACGTGAGACTTTGAGACTTTTTAAAGAATATTATCCAGGATGATGGTGTGGAAACGCTTCAAGGGGGTGGGATTGAGCAGATGTCTGAATACCAGGATGTACACTGACACATAGTAATTACACAGAATTTTAAAAACTTTTTATTACAGAAATTGAGAAACATACAAAAGTAAACATAGTATAATTATGAACCCCCATGTACTCAGCTTCAGTAATTATCCCTCATGGCCAATCTTGTGTCATGTATGCCCCTTCTTATTTTTTCTCTCATATTTTTCCAGACATCATATTACTGCACCTGTAAGTATTTCAGGGTATATGGCTAAAAGATAAGGACCCTTTTTAAAAACATAATCATAGATACAATTGTCACAAATAAAACATAATTAACAATGCTTTCTTCATATCATCAAATAACTACTCAGTATTCTAATTACCTCATAAATTTTATAATTTTTAGGTGGTTTTTGTGAATACATACTTTATTTCATATTTGCTATGTATTTTAAGCCTCTTTTGATCCTGAGGTTACCCCTTTCAATTTGTTTATTTTTATTTGCAATTTGTTTTTTGAAGAAATTTGGTCATTTTTCTTGAAAATTTTCTTAGAGTCTGTATTTTGCTTATTGTACATCCATGGTGTTGTCTAACATGTTGGCATGTCCTTTGTTATTCTTGTAAATTGGTAATCTAGAAGCTTGATCAGATTCAGGTTTAATTTTTTTGGCAACATCATTTCTTAGGTAGTGGGGCGTTTTTACATCTGAGTGTGTAATGCCTGACTTTGTTTTTGCAGTGCCAGAAATCTATGGAATTGAAATCTCTATGGTGTAATGTTTGACAAAACCTAACTGTGGAATATTTTGTGGCTTAGCTTTTAAAAGTATGTCCTCCGCTGATAATTGAAACCCAAACTCCTAAGAAAGTCTTTAGACATTCAATCCTGTAAGATAAAGCAGCAGGTGAGCTATTAGTTTACCACCCTATGTGAAACTGCTCACCACAGTGTGATGTGTAACCTGGGCAAGTTGCCCCTCTCTTGTGTTAAGGGGTCTGGAGCTGAGATCCAGATCCCTGTTTTCAGGTGGTGCTAGACGTGCCCCTGCTATTAGTCGCAAACACAGGTCATGTTCAGTCCATTTGTACTTCTCAACAGAGAAAATATTATTGACAGCCTGCTTTCTCAACCACCATAAAGAGATATGGCCTCTGCTCTCTAGGTCTTCTAAAAACAAAACAAAACAAAACAACATAAGAAAAAGACAATTGTTCTTAAGTTCCAAGGGACTGTGTTATCACAAGATAAAGTCTCTTACTAAAAATCTATTTGCTTATCTGTCTATCTATCTATCTATCTATCATCTATGTATCTATGTATCTATGTATCTATGTATCTATCTATCTACCAACCAACCATCTAGTGGCTTAAGTAATGAGAAGTTTGGGTATTTCCTAATTATTTGGCTAATAATGATGTTGGGGCAAAGATAGGAAATTATTCCTTTAATACCTATGTTATGCTTATTTACTGAATGGGGATATCTTCCCTAGGTGATGTCCTCTTTGCCTTGCTAATAACTTGGCTGTTCTTAGTAGAGGAAGGGTTTAGATGTGGCAGGAAGATGAGGGACAGCAGGATCTTGCTCTGAGAGAGTAGTGATTTTGATGAGAAATCTGTGGCATCGACTTGCATAATACTAGTGCATGCAAAAACAGAGTGTTCATCAAATCCTCACTTTAGAGCAGCTGCACACACAGGCACAGCCAGGCCAATAGGACTTCTAAATTGGTTTGTAAACTGTGTGAGCCTCCCCTGTGCTGACAAATGCCATCACTCACCTCTGCCGAGAGAGACTAGTCCTTCTATTTGTCCTTCAAAGAGAGTAGCTTGTGTAGCCTGAGATTTCTAGCCTCCTGAGGTCACCCTTTCATTTTATGTGCAAATAAATGATGGAGGCCCCATTCCCTGGGCACTTCTGAGGGTTCTGCAGAGTCCTGAGATTCCAGGTTCATCCCTCTCACTCCAAACTGCTCCTGGCTCTTTGGTCAACATTGGCTATTTCCATCAGGCCCCAGCTCTGTCATGCCCCACAGACAAACATAGGCAGAAATTCAGTCTATCATTAAAATTAATATTCTGGCCAGGAGTGGCTTTTCAGCTGTCAGAAGGACTGCTCTAGCTGCCTCCCCAGAGCAGATTATCACCACCTTTATAGGGCTGTATAAGCAGCTAGTGTTTGGGCTGACTGTTTAATCAGTTGTCAGAGAGTTTATAGAGTCAGATATTGATTTTAAAGAGAGAAGACTGGCAATCCTATTAATATGCACATGTTCTGTTGCACCTTTATTTGACCTTGTCTGTGAATGCCCAGATCAGCATGATGGGCATGGCAGTGGAACCTGATTGGTCTGTCTTCTGCCCACCCATCATTGGTGCTGACTGTAGATGACTCCCTCTGGGTGAGTTGTTCTTGTTTTGTGGGGAGCAGAGATTGCTGTCCAGTAGGTTCATGGGGCATTTAGCCTTCATTTGATTGGGGTTATTTTCCCCACAGAACTTTTCAATATTTAGTGTGTTTGGTCAAAGAGAACTACCTGACTCCATTCTATTCTAGGTCATGGAATTGGGCCTGGGGAGGCCTGGATTCCTGTTCCTGCACTGCCCCTAAGCAGTTGTGTCACCAGTCTGGGTTTTGGTTTCTTCGTCTGTAAATTGGGACTCTATTAGTTTACTAGGGCTGCCATAACAAAGTACCATAGATTGGGTAGCTTAAGCAACAGAAATTTACTTCCTCACAGTTCTGGAAGCTGGAAGTCCAAGATCAAGGTGTCAGCATGGTTGATTCCTTCTGAGGTCTCTGTCCTTGGCTTGTAGATGACCATCTTCCCTCTCTACATTTCTGTTCCCTAATCTCTTCTTATAAAGACACCAGTAATAGGGATTAGGGTCCCCCCATATGACCTCATTTTACCTCAATTACCTTTTTAAAGGCCCTATCTCCAAATATAGTTACATTCTGAGGTACTGGAGGTTAGGACTTCAACATATGAATTTGGGAGGGGTACAGTTTATCCCATAACAGGTCGTGAGATGGTGGTGGTGGGGTGCTTAATCAATGATTTTCTAATAGTGTTCTGAGGAGGCCCCAGAGACTAGGGTGACAAACTGTCCCAGTTTGCTCAGTTCTAAGAGGTTTCCCAGGATATGGGACTTTCAGTGCTAAACTGAGGCAGTCCCAGGCAAACCAGGATGGCTGGTCACCCTATCAGTCTCCCACAAGGGGCACGAGGCAGGCACTTGCTTCCTCAACCTGCCTCAGCTAGGGCTGTGCTGCTTCTCTCAGCTTATACATCAGCATTCTAAGTGATATTTAATTTAACAAAAGGGTTTTGTGGCCAAAAATCATTAGAAAACCACTTGATTTGATGGCCTCCAGGGTCCTCTTCTGCTGCCACATTCTATGATTTAATTTCATTTGTACACATCAAATTCTAGCCATTTGTCTGAAACAAATAACTGGAGCAAAACTAATTTGTTTCTCATTTATTTAGTGACTAAAAGTGAAATAAAACAGAACAGGAAACTTTGTTAAGCTTGCCTATTCTGAAGCAGAACTTGGTGCTGTGCCTTCACGATGGCAGATGACACTTGCTCTGCTCACTTTGATCTGTCATCATCCCATAATCCTGACAGAAACTCTGTGAAGTGGGTAGCAGCAGCAGCAGCAGCCGCCCCATGATGCCAATGAGGAAACTGAGGCACAGAGAGATGAGTAACTAGCCCAAGTCTCAGGGCTGGTCACGCAGGGCCAGGATCACACAGTTTGACTTGAGTGCTACTGTATCACAGCACTGAGCCTAGATGCAGGTGTCCCTGCTGGTGGGCAACAGGAACTGCACTAGTAAGTGTAAAGAAATTCCATTTAGGCTGATGGGCCAAATTCTTCTCTCCAAGAAGGGCACCTCCCTGGAGTACCCTCCACACCCCTGCCTGTCTGGCGTTGACCAGCACCTACAACTGGTCCTGCTTTTTGCTCTTGTAGAAGGTGAGCCTAGAACAGTTCTCAAGGTATTGAGAGGTTTTGGTGATCTTGCAATAAAGAACACTGAATCGCATAGTGACAAAGTTATTCCCTTGCTTATTCTTTTTCAGGTCTTTTGACGATGTTAAGGGAAAAGTTTGTACTAGTCTTTTTTTTTTCTTGAGGAAGATTAGCCCTGAGCTAACTACTGCCAATCATCGTCTTTTCGCTGAGGAAGACTGGCCCTGAGCTAACATCCATGCCCATCTTCCTCTACTTTTTATATGTGGGATGCCTACCACAGCATGGTGTGCCAAGTGGTGCCATGTCCGCACCTGGGATCTGAACTGGTGACCCCCAGGCCGCCGAAGCAGAGCTTGCAAACTTAACTGCTGTGCCACTGGGCCAGCCCTGTCCTAGTCTTTAATTCCTCCCCATCACTCAGTGGTCTCCCTTTTTTGGAAAGAGCAGAGGCAGCAGTATCTGGCTGGACTTGGATAACTATTGTTTTTAGCATAAGCATCCTTTTGTAGTTAATTTTGATATTTGGCAAGTGATTTAGGGTGGTGACATAAAGTGCCTTTAAAAGGCATTCATTTAGGGGCTGGCCCCGTGGCTGAGTGGTTAAGTTCGCGCGCTCCGCTGCAGGCGGCCCAGTGTTTCGTTGGTTCGAATCCTGGGCGCGGACATGGCACTGCTCATCAAGCCACGCTGAGGCAGCGTCCCACATGCCACAACTAGAAGGACCCGCAATGAAGAATATACAACTATGTACCAGGGGGCTTTGGGGAGAAAAAGGAAAAAATAAAATCTTTAAAAAAAAAAAAAAAGACATTCATTTAAATGAAAAATCAACTGATTTAAAGTATTTAGTAACACAGCACAGGTGATGTAGGTGATGTACAGATACGGCAAAAATTGTGAAGCATGTGGTGAGAAAGATGATTTTGTGAAACACTGGCTAGGAGGAAAGGTTGGATTTCGTTTCTAATCTTGAAACCAGCAGATGAGAGGCAGGAGTTGTTTGACCAGCTGACCTTTCAGGGTCAGTGCCTCAGCATAGAGTGAGCCTTCCCTGGGCTCTCAAGGTCCTGGTTACAGGCCTCTTTGGAGCGTGGTGTGCCTGCCAGGTGAACTCTAGAAAGACAGGTTCCCTTCCAGTGTCAACCCCACAGCCTCTGGGATTTTATTTTGTTTTGTTTTGGTAATGGTTTTCAATATCTTTGAAATGCCTCCCTCAGAAAGGGTAAGGATAAAAAGTGGATTCTTGTGCCAGGTCAAAAGGCTATGTCTTGGGAGAATGCAGTCTAGAAAACAGTTAGAATTAAAAGTGCAAATTGCAGTGCCCAGCATAAGGCAGAAGTGCTCATCCTGGCAGGACACCAAGCCATGGTGTGGAGATTGGATGCCATGGCTTTTGCTGTTGGAGCCTGACAGCCCCTCCCCTGGAGTTGCAAGCAGCCTGGGAGCAAACGAAGCTGAAGGGGCTTTTTCGTAGGATCAGTCTGAGGTGACTTTGCCTGCCAAGCTTGCTGCTGGTACTTAAAGTACTTAAACTCCACAGGGCTGTGTCCTTATTTAATAGAGTACTGCTAAGGCAAAGTGGGTTTGCAGCTCCTGGTTACCCACTCAGTGTGATTCCCACACTAGGCTCTTGCTGTGTAGATGGGGTCTGGGCTGGGAAATCCTTGCAGGACCCAAGACCTGGTCGACAGTGGGTACTGTGCATTGACTGATGCCTGCCGCAGGCACCAAATCCTCCTTCCTAACAGCCCACGCTTTGTACATAGAGGTTGGATACCGGTTTCCAGTGACCATCAGGGAGGTCAAGGTTACCATAACCTGGGCACAAAGAACTTAGACCTATGGCTTTCAGCCATTTTCCCTGGCAGCAGCAGCAGCAGCAGCTCCCACTCAGCAACCTGGAATGCTAACTATCTAGTCACGACCGGACATCTTCTTTGGCCCTTTTGTTCCCTCCTGTAGTATGGATCTAATATCCCCTTTTAGAATTGTGTTTTTAAAGATGCTTCAGAGTCATGTTGCCCACCCCTCTATCTTCTATCCCTATTTCTTAAGGAGGCTTCAAATCCTTTTTTTAAAAAAATCTGCTTAAAACAGAAGGGGAAAAAAAAGAGAAAAAGTACCACAAGGTTGCTGGCTAAGAAATAAAAATATTCTTGTTTCACAGGCCCCCTGCCCCTAATCCTTTGATCTGTTGCACATAAAAAACTTTTCTCCCCACCAGGAAAACTCTGTATGGATTGTTTCATTACAGTCCCACGATGCTTGGACTTGAATCGCTTCCAGATCCCACCGATACCTGGGAAATTATAGAGACCATAGGTAAAGGCACCTATGGCAAGGTCTACAAGGTAGCTAACAAGAGAGATGGGAGCCTGGCTGCGGTAAAAATTCTGGATCCAATCAGTGTAAGTAACAGTGGTAAACTGTACACAATATAGTATTTCATGCACATTTTGCTTTCAACTTTTTTCTTGGTTCTAAGGATAATTTTCATGAAACTTGGCATGAAATCTCAAAATGAGTTATGATTTGTCAGGTCATCTGAATGAAGGGACTCCACTTGGAGTTAAAAACTCTCCTTGATTTTCTCTTTCTTGCCCTTTTTACTGTTGTTTTAGTTTTGGACCTCTGAGCTCTTCAAAAGTTATTCTTTTGGAAAAAACGATGCATTGGCCTTATACAGAGGCTGGTCTCTCTGTGATTTACAAAGTGACTCAGACTTGTGGTATTTGATCATCTTAGCATGGCATTTTATTTCAGAGCACTGAACACTGAGGTTATAATGCTGTACACTCTTTTGCACAGTCAGGTTATAAGAGTCCTATCCTGGTTGGGTCCCTTCGAGCTACTTCTCCTTAAGTGCTTTGAAAATTCAAATATTTTAAATAAAAAAAAAGATATTTATAATAGTATTGCTGAAGATAAAAGAATATAATGAAGACCTTTTATTCATGTAATAGTAATTAGAAGGTTTTAGTTGGGATCTGACTATCCATTGTTAGGTTGTTTTAGGATATGGTAATGATGACATTAAAAATATAGAATAAATGTGCTTTATTAAGTGACTACTTGATCATGATGTCATACCTGTACCCTTCCTCACACATTAGACTTAATCCAGCATGCATTTTTCACCCTGTGTAGGATATGGATGAAGAGATTGAGGCAGAATACAACATTTTGCAGTTTCTTCCTAATCATCCCAATGTTGTAAAGTTTTATGGGATGTTTTACAAAGCGGATCACTGTGTGGGAGGACAGCTGTGGCTGGTTCTGGAGGTAAGAGGCTCCCATTGGGTAACCATCAATTCAAAAAGAGCACCAGGGGCAAGCAGATGCATTGTTGCTTAAGCACTATAAGATACACATTTGAGGAGTCAGTCCCTCCTGCATGTCACAGGTACCTTACCAAATGTGGTGTTCTCCTGCACAGTTCTTACTCATAGGCTGTGTGCTGAAAATGTTCTTGTTTCTCCGCTTCACAAGTTTAATAATCTTTTCGTATAATACAGTGAATATAGGAATACAGTTGGAAAAGGTTATTTTCTTCCCTAAACTGGGAATATTTTATAGAAAACATGTTCTAATTGATTTCAAATCATTTTCAAGAATTGTTAACCCAAGATTTACTTGGTTGCCAAATTTGAATTAGCCTATTCATGTTCATTAATCCTCATTTTAGATTGGGTTCCCTGAAAACAGTTTCTGAGAGTTGTGTATGGCAGCTTTATTGGAGAGTTCTTGTAGGAGATAGACCTGGAAGGAAGTGAGGAAGGCAGGATTGGGCAAGGGAGACATTGAACAGCAATGTGTTTATGACAGAGGCCTCAGCCCATCCTTGGGGAGATGAAGAAGGGATGCTCTTGAAGTGTCCTGCAGTATGTCTCCGCATCAGCCAATCATTGGCTGTGTGCAATCCTGGGAGGGGATGTGTCCTTGGAGGAGGCAGTTCCCTGTAGCTGGGTGCAATTCCTGTTGAGAAATGAGGCTGGGAGCTGGACCAGGGAGCAGCTGATGTTCCTGGCAGCATCTGCTCCTAAAGAGGGAATCTGAAGGGAACACCACCTGTATTCATTGTAGTCCTGCGTTTTTCCTCCCTTATTAATGGGAATGAATGTGTGTAACGAGGTGGGAAAGAATCAATTCCCTGTAAATAGGGAATTCCCCCATGGGATTAAATGACAAAGACACAGTAATGACAATATATGAAATTAGCATATTAGGACAGGTCTATTGCCTCATGCTCACCAGGCCTACCCTGATTGTTCTGAACTCCATCCCTCTGAAGAAGCACATGCCTCCGTTCCTGAGGTCACATATGTGATCCAAGACCATGTGGATACATGTGAAAGCTTTAAGAGAGAAGCACCAAAGGAGAGACCAGCCCTTAATTCACCATCTGGCATCTCTTGTCTGAATCTTCCATTTGGCTCTGGGAGGGCCTGGACATGGAACAGTATATCCTTGCTGCCATGGCAACCATGTATGGGGAATTCATTTGTTATATTCAAATGGGATAATCTTCAGGGAAACTAGTTTGAACACTTTTGTCACATCATTTGCCTTCCTCAGAATATAAAGATATAAGGGGTTTTGGTTTCCAGAAATCATCTTTGTCTGTTTACTTGGGTATTTAAGTCATATAACGTTCTCATAGTATCATCTTTTGGATTTTATTATTCCCCACCCCCTCCCTGAGAATATTATGAATTTTATCCTGCCAATGAAGCTCTAGAATAACATTACTTTTTTAAATGCTGCTTTTCTTGGGACATGAAAAGTATTGTTCCTAGGGTCTCTGATTATATTCTTCTTCTTCTTCATATATCTTCAGCCAGAAAGGGCTGTGTATGGCCTTGAAAGATGAGAAGGAGCCCAGAATTATGAACTGAGTCTTTTGCAAATACTCCCCTACAGACTCTCATGTTTTTTCAGGGTTACCACGGGCATATAATGAGGCTGCCCTGGGACACTGAATTATTCATACCTTAGCAATACAATGTGCTTATGTGCTTTATGCCTTTTGCAGGTTGTTTTGGCCCACGCCAAAATTGGTGGTATGAAGTTAATGTCCTCAGTCTTTTCTGTCCTGAAATGGGCCATCTGAAATGGGCCAGGCTGCTGAGTGGTTAAGTGTGCCCAGTGCCTCCAATATGCTTATAGGTACAGGGATTCCCGGGCTCCTAGAGCTGGCAGGAGCCTTGGCCTTCCTTAAGGTCACTCCGCTAGTGTTCTTTTGAGGAACAAGGCCCAGAGAAGGAGTGACATGCCTACAGTCACATAATGGGTTAACTGGCAGAACTGAAGGGGGAGCCACACTTTAGCACTTTGCTCCCATCACGTGCTGCTGCTGCCTGTGGCACTGTCTGCCATGTCCCGGGAACACAGATGTGGGAACTCTGCCTGGGATGGCAGAAGTTCCGGTTCCACCCACCCACCCACACACACACACACACACAGAGCTGGAAGGTGATGATGGTCCACAGAGCACCCTGACTGTTTTGTTTTGCTCCCTCTGCAGCTATTTTAGGAGTGCTTTAGGAGACTCGCACAATATAATTATGATCTGTTTAGTATTGTTCTCCTCATCTGCTGTGTATTGAGATTAAATTTATGTTGCCTTTGCTCTTTCCTTACCAAATGCGACCAAAGGACCAGTGAGAAGCTATTCCACGGAGCAATTCTGAAGGATAGAAAAAAGTTATTATTAACCCTCTTAAATCACCACAACTCTGAAAACAACAGCAAATAAAAATGTCGTTTCTGAAATTCATTACTAATTGTTAGCAGAAAGCAAACCAAAACTCTCTTTCATGACAGACACCTACTACATTAGAAAGATATGGAGAGAAACACTCATACATAAGAATGTTTTGGGAAATTTGTGGATAAGTTTTATTCTAAATTAATATTAAATTTGAAAAATCTGTAAGTCCTATTATCTCTTACCTAAATGAAATATAGTAAGAAGTTAGATCTTTAAGAAAAACACAATACTCAGAAAAAATACCTACTATGTGCTAAGGCATGAACTATATTTTCTCCTTTTTCCTTTCACTATAAAACCTTCATCAGGTACATACTATTAATTTCAGCATGAATCATGTGTTCAACTTAAAAGGAATGGTTTAGAGTTTAGAGTACTAGTAAATGAGGCTGTAAAGTAAAAAAAAATACTCCTTATATTTTTAAACCAGATAAAAGAATCAGTTTTTTAAATCTATTTTTCCTCCCAGAGATCTATCTAAAAGTTCAGTATCTAATCCAGAGGGGAAAAAAAGATTCCTCTGTCCAGTTTTTGCACTTATGTAAGACCCTAGAAAGTCCATTCTAGGCCTGAATATCATTGCAAGTTAACACTTTAAACCATTTTTCACCTATTGATGTTGTGGCATGAATCAAATTTGTCAAGTTTATCACATTAACAAATCAGGATCATAGCAGGACTCTGATGGTCTGGAAGACAGGATTGGTAAGTTTTGGTTGGCTAGAGATGGTTAGAAGACACTGGAGCATTGAACCCTGACTCAGATGGCAGGTTCTGGCAGGTTTCTAGAATGAGAGTCACTGGAGTGCTGCGTTCAGGAGGAAGGTACAGAACACTTGGGAGTGGAGAGGAAGAACTTTGAAATGCAACAGAGTTGCATCCCAGGTACAAGTGCTGTATGTGTTCAGCCAAAGCCAGAGAGAGTGAGAAGCTGAGAGTGGGAGTGATTCTGCCACCCATTCTACTCATTAAGCATGTGTCCTGGAGAGAGACTGGGCTGGGAAGTGGGAGTCTTGGGGCCCACCTGCCTCTTGTGGTGTGGGTATCTCCCCACTCTGACTGGAACTCTAGGGTTTCAAGTGACATAGTTTTCATTCTTCTAGGTGCAAGCCAGTGACTTTATGTGGAATCAGTAAAATAGACACCATCTGTCCCAACAGTCTGGAGGAAAAATATGTTGTTATGGCCTTACTGAGAGGTGAACAGTGTCCAATACCATGCTTCCTAAGCCATCTTATAGAGTAATTTTGACAATTCTTGACCTTTGTTTTATGCCCTCTGTAGAACCTAACACCCTTGCAAGACAAGGTCCCCTGAACAAAAGGGCACTGAAAAGAAATTCCTCTTAATTCTGCAATCTGACTGGTCAAATCAACAAGCCAGTACAGAATCTACTTGCAAGTTGGAGCTTTGACTAGATTAAAAGGTCTGGTGATTGTGTTGCATGGGCCATTCTTTAATAACGTGAAAGAAAGTTAATGGCTTATTGAGCAAGGAACATTTTATTGCTTGAGGTTATGACCATCTTAGCAAATGCACATACTGTGATTGAATCAATATTCAACAATGTTTTGGAAAATAGATATGGAATGTAAATGATTTTTCTATTTTTCTTGGTTTGGAGCAAAGCACTCATTAAATTCTAGATGCATTCAGCTGCCACATTTGCTGAATGCTGAGGGCATAGGGAGGAATGCAAGGGAGGAGACACACCTCTGTATTTGAATCTGATGCCTGGTAGAGTGGGTGGGAATAAAGGACTGCATGTGCCAACCCTCTGGGGTTGGGCAGGAGACTTGGTTGCCTTCTTTCAACTTAAGGGGATTGTTTTATTTCATCCATTTAAATGTAATTCCTTGTCATGCTTTTGGAACGTTTAGTCCATTTCATTGAACATTTACCCCGGTTAGACGATTGTCAGTGTGTGCCTGCTTTCCTTTTTTTTATATCCACATACCCCAAATCTTTTCTCTATAACCTATGGGCTGCCCTTTCAAACCTTGCTGGAGGGATTATCAACTTCACAGGACAGCTTCCTCTAAAGGTGCCCTGAGCACTTTAATTCTATGTTTCTGTGAATCATGGGAAGTCAGGCAATTCTTAAACTCTGACATTTAGTGAACACAAGACATGGACTGAGTAAGATCCTTTTGTTGTTCTTAAATCCACAGCTGAGTTTTGATCCTGCTGACAAGATGGCTGCCCTTAATCTCTTCATAGGTTCCACAGTTTTGAAGAAAGTTTCTAACTTGTCTAGCTATATAAAATGTCTCTGACTAGGCTTCTATTGCAGAAATGGCCCCACTTAAAATAAAGCAGGAGAGGGGCTGGCCCTGTGGCCGAGTGGTTAAGTTCATGCACTCCGCTTTGATGGCCCAGGGTTTTGCGGGTTCGGATTCTGGGCATGGACATGGCACCACTCATCAGGCCACGTTGAGGCAGCATCCCACGTGCCACAACTAGGAGGACCCACAACTAAAATACACAACCATGTTTTGGGGGGATTTGGGGAGAAAAAACCAGAAAAAAAAAAAAAGTAGAACAGGAGAGAGACTTAAGAGGTTTCAGGGAAAAATTCTAGGGTTGACTTAGTTTGGATCGGCACTCAGCATTTAATTTAAATTTTCTCTGGGTAGAATTTTAATAGTGCACTTGCAATTCAGTAAAGCATGTGCCTCCCTGAGACAGGAACCAGGCTGAAGAGAGGTTCTCATGAAGGTGCTCTAGTGCCTTGCCTTCCTATTACTGCCTTGGATTTAGAGGATCAAAGAACTTTATTGATATTTCCCTTATTCTCACAATATCCCTATACTCTCTCTCTTCTTAACCTTTCCCATCCAGTTGATTAGAAATTCCTGTCAATTCTACCTCACAAAAGCCTCCTATTTCTGTCCCCTTCTCTTCGTCATCATGACTGTTGACTTTTTGACCCTGCCTCTTTTGGTTGCTTCAACACTCCCAAAGGTGCCCAGCTCCTGGTATCTTCCTTTCCTGTTCACCCTCCAATCTGCTGCCCAAGTCATCTCTCTGGAATGCAGATCTGAACAGAGACCTGCTACCTAAAACTTGTTAATAGCTTACTCTTCTTATCTAATGGTATATTATGGTGTTATAATATGCGTGAGTATAGTAATAAAGCCCATACTCCTTAGCAGGGCACACTTGTCATTCCCTGTTCCCCACCTTCCTTCCCCATCTCCCTACCCTAGGATCCTGGTACCCTTTGTCCCAACAGTAACAGAATATTTAGAAATCACACACACACATACACATGCAGACAGACAGAGAGACACACAGACACATACACTCACAGACACACACAAACACACCCCTCATTCTTTTGTGCTCCTTTCCTTTGCACATGATATTCCTTTTCCAGGGATGCCCTTCCCCTTCTTGTCCACCTGCCGAAAAACTCATTTGTCCTTCAGACTCATTGTAAATGTTACATCCTCTGGGAAGATTTCCCAGACTGTCCGCTCTTTACCCTACCTCAGCAGAGTTCAGCATTCCTGCATCAGTGTCACCACACTCTCTTAGGCACACCCCTGCTTCCACATACCATACTCCACTTATGTCTCCATTATTGGTCATGAGCTCTTTAACTCACAGGGACTGTGTCGTATTCACGATTGAATAATGAGTAATAAACTGGACAATCACAAACTGTTGAGAACAAAGAGGTAATTTCTTGTCAATAACTGAACTCAACTTTGTTCTTGAGCCCCCAGCCTGCCTAGAAGAGACAGCTGGTTTTAACTCATTCTGTTAAACTTAGTCCAACTGAGTGGCTTTGGGAAGGGGCAAAGTCTAGTATTTATCACACATTTTCACAGTCCAGTTCAAAGTTCAGTCATTTGGGTAAGGACTCAGTTTTATTAGGGCCTCTTCTCTCTCTCTTCCCTTCCCTTCTCCCTGGGTGGCATCTGGATCTGAGTACAAGCAGATGCTCATGTATAGTGATGGCAGTTAGGTCAGGGCTTCTGAGCTGTGTGGTGACCCCCAAGTCCTTGTACTGCTTGCCTTTAGTATCTCCCCATGTCCGTAGTCCCTGATACTCTTTTCTATCCTGAGGTCCTCACCCTCTTTGTCCTTCTCATTCAAACACTAGTCTTGTCCCTTACCCCAAATGGAGCATAAAGTTCTGAATTGTAGGTGAAATGCAGGAGCAAGTCATGAGCAGGCCATAGGGAACTGTCCTTATAACCCCAGGCTTGGTTGGCCTCATCATACCCTGCTGCCATTTCCACTCAGCATGGACACCCCTTTGTTGGCATGAAGGCCCTGTGAGGAGGTCTCCCTTTAGATTTCCAGATGGGAAGAGAGTCATAAGAAACTGCAGTTTCTATTATTATATTAACCCCTTATGCAGACTCTCAAAGAGGAACATCTTTACTCTAATCTTGTTCTCTCAAGCTCTCCAAGCTCCATGTCCCCAGCCTCAGAAGTGCTCTTCTTCTTTTGGGGTGAAAACTTCCATATGTTATGTCCAGCATTCTTCCCTGATCATCAGTTGACTCTGTGGTCAATTCTCTAATTTTTGTCCCTTGAAATATAGAATCTAGTTTGGGGAGTCCTGAGAAAATTATTTTGTGTCTAACTAAAGCTTAGCTTTTAAGACTATTCTATGAATCATGGCACTGAAAGTTTATTCATTGCTCAAAAGGGTATTAGAATTAACCTAGAATGTTATTTGCCCTTTCAGGGTCGTGTGAGACATAGTTGAAATCGAAACAATGTAGAATCCTTTGGAAGACGTTAGCCTGGTACTCAGTGTTATGGCCATCAGGGCCATTGGTGTTGAGTTGCGAGTTAAACCTAATATTGGCAGAGAGTGAATTCCTCAGTCGCCTTATATACTTCCAAACTCACGGGACCATCATAGCCTTCAATGCGTTTCACTGTTTCTAGCGTCCCTCCTAAATCATTTCTGAGAGAGTCATTTTAGCCTAGTTTTAAAGATTCCCTAATGCTATCTTAGATTTTTAGTCACATACTGTCCCTTATGATCAATCTAAATGATAAAAACATGGGCAGATTCAGTTCCAGGTTATCCTGATTTCTAACGTGTTTTCAAGGTTTTTGCCACATTTGTAGCAGGGAATGATAAACACGTCAAATAAAAACATCTGTTCACCCTTTACTAAACGTTGCAGATGTTCATAATTAGAATCGAATAGATCCTAATGTATTATTATCTTGATAAAGAGTTGTCTTCTTTTAGGAAAGGTGCTAATCTATGCTCCCTCAGATTTCCTTGCTTACAAAAAGCCCATTGACTCAAGCAGCACAACCCAAAGGACCCCCCACTATTCACTAGTTAACTCTTTCCCAAATTGCAAAGTGTCAGGAGGAAACTTAAGTCTCTAAAGCAGAATCTTAACCTTTATAAGGAAAGGAAGGCTCTGAGAATCTGACAGAAACTCTGAATTTTCTCAGCAGAAAAATGCAAGGTGCATATACAACATGCTGCCTACAATTTCAAGGTATTTACATGCCCTATTCAAACCAGTTAAGAATCCTTGATTTAGGATGGCAGGCAGCAAACCCAAACCTGCACACTGACTTCTGCAGTTGGTAAAAATTATCTTTGAAAATCCTTAAATTGCTGCAAAAGTATAGTCTACCTGGTTTATGTAGTCTCGAATCTCAGTAATGTACTATATGTAACAAAGAACAAATACGCAGGATATACTTTTACAGTGTTTTTAATTACAGGGGAAATCAAAAGAGAAGAGCATAAAGTTGCTAAATGCCTAAAGTTGACTGTGAGAAAGTTAAATGTGCATATGACACAACTCCACTCCGTAAATTTGACATGTAGTGGCAATTCCAGAAAGAGCTGCTGGTTGGGCTTCTGATGCCTGCAGTGCCAGCACTGGAGACAGGAAAGTTTGAAATGAAATTTATTCCCTCCTAGGTATCAAGGGCAGGGCATCCATCTTGCCTCTTCCGGTCTTTTCTTATTCTCAAAATGTATGTTTTTAAAAAAATAGACAGTACTCATGTAAAATGTCCAATAAGTCACCATGATTACTTATATGCTTTCTCTATCCCAAGTTTCTAAATAACGAAGTGTGCTTTCATATTTCACTTGACAATTAAAAAATCAACTTTTTGGACTTGCCCTTTCATTCATAAATCATCACCTTGAATAAAAAATTTGCACACTCTCTCACACACATACACACACAGAACTAGATTTGACTCTGTAATGGAAATTTGAAGTTTAATTATTCTGACCTGGAGTTTTATGATCTGCAAATTTACTATGTTGGGTCGGTAATCGGTGGGCTTTTCTTCTTAACATCTTTTTCTTTTCTTTTTGTATGTGTCTCCTGCTTTCTCTCTCTCTCCTCGGCACCTCCTCTTGCAGCTGTGTAACGGGGGTTCGGTCACTGAGCTTGTCAAAGGTCTCCTCAGGTGTGGCCAGCGGTTGGACGAAGCAGTGATCTCATACATCTTATACGGGGCTCTCTTGGTAAGAATGGCCGTCAAGCTGGGTTTGACAGCAGAGGGGGCAATTTGTCATCACTTGGATCCCTATTGCATATTAACAAGGGGAAACGACCCTAAAATATGCAAGATGTATAACAGCAGGGAGGTGTAGCCAAATGTGAACTCACATTAGGCTTTTTAATAGTAGGGTAATTGTTTTAAAATAACCTTGCAAATTTTCCCTTTCTCCTTCCTGTTATTTGGTGGTGGCATGCCTTGCAGGGCCTTCAGCATTTGCACAACAACCGAATCATCCACCGTGATGTCAAGGGGAATAACATTCTTCTGACAACAGAAGGAGGAGTTAAGCTCGTTGACTTTGGTAATGACTGCTTGTCGTTTGTTTTGTTGATGTGTGCAGTTTAGCCAAAGGCGATAGTTTATTACAATCTTAGTAGACTGGGGCCTCTCTGCTACGCCACAGGCGGAGGGACTTTTCCAGTCAAACACAGGCTGGAGAGTGGGAGGTTTACCAGATGGATCACCGTAGGAGATGCTGTTTGTTAATCTATTTTCAGCTTTAGAAGCTATTTTATTAAAGATAGAAAATAAAAGTGTTTCAAAAGAAGAAATTGACAGAAAAACTTTTCAGTTTTCTGGTAAGAATTTCACATCTCAGGGAAATTGTCTATAATTTACATTTTGTGATTTCTTCTTTTGCATATGAAAAGAGAAAGCAGTTTGGTCTTTCAAATGACTTTCTCTAGCCTTAGGCATACTTATTGCCAGTGAGCAGAAGGTAGACTAGTCCTTTGGATCTGGCAGCTAAAATCCCTTTAAATTGTGTTTATTGCTGCTACATGTGAGGCTGGTTGAACTGGAAATATTAACAGGAAGTGGAAGTGTGAGAGGAAATGCAGAGTAATATCACCTAAAGCCAGAGAACTATTGAATATCTCCTTGCCGACAGTCATGTATTGATATTCCACAAACCAACAAACCATTTGGTTTTCCTTTTTAAGTTTATTGAATGGTTTAGTCTTCAAAATGAGTTAAACAACAGTTAGCACTTCAGCATGATTGTTCCAAATAATGAGAAAACATTTATAGAAGCACTTTTAAAAATATTCCTTATTAATGCCAACATACTAGGAGAAAAGATTGATGGCCTTGATTGTTTTATTTGTAAGAAAGGGTTTGGTGTTAAAATGTATCAGTGAATCATTTGCTTAGAAGAAATTACTCACAAATAAATGATGTAATTTTAGGTGTATTGGTCTATAAGAGCAAGCAAAGAAAAATAGCAGAGGGGCACTTTGTTCAAGTCTTATGCTCCTCTTTCTATGTAAAGAATGGTATAAATCTGTGAATGTGCTGTGTATATAATATCAAATATGTATTTTTCACATGATCCTGGGGACAGTGAGTGTGTTATGAGGGAAAGAGCCTAGAAGGATGAGGATGGGGATTAATACTGATTTATCTACTTACCAGCTTTGCAATTTGGCATGAAGGTAAAGGCTCCTAATCTTTCCAGTAGAAGTTCATGAACTTCCAGTTGCTGAGAAAGAAATTTCTAGAAATTAAAACCAGAAAAATATGGTTGATTTTTACCAAAATTGTAGCGGAGGACTTGGTGAAATAGGAAATTATCCATAGCCAATAGAATTTAGAGAGCCCTCTTTGGCTTTCTAAGAAAGAGAATGCAAGTGGCTAACACATCAACTACCCCCAAAAAGCAACCCTTGGGTCCTTGGCAAATCTATGCCTGATGTTTCAAAGGTGTTTCTTTGGCTAATAAGCACTTGTATCCAGGTTTCTAAGTTCTTGTCATCAACGTTAGTGGCAGCCCTGTCATTCTCTTAAGGGCTGCGTTAGATTCCTGCTTGGTACAAAAGAATACCTTATATTTGTAAACTACAACTCAAAAATCATTTTCACATTTGTTCCCTTATTTGATCTTAGGAAAAGCCCTCTGGGTTAGCTGTCAACAGTATCATTATCCCCAGTTTGAAGATGAGAAAACTGAGGCTCAGAGTGAGTTGGTCTGCTCAGTGTCATACGATTAGGAAAAGGTCTAAGTGGAATGGAAAACAGGTCTTCTGACTCCTAATCTGGTGTATCTTTACTTCCACTTTATTCCCTTGTGGTATAAAAAGAGAGCTGGCTGAAGACTAAGACAGATAAAGTACATTGAAAGTATATTAAAATTCAGGTCCTCAACATTGAGCCCTGGATAATAATATTATTAGTCGATTTCTTTTTCCATTTGACAAACATAGTTTTCTTGCCAGGTGTCCAGGCTTCTAGGTAAGATAAGGCACTGAAAAAATTTTATGTCTACACTGATGCTCCATTATAGATAATACATGCCAATTTTCTTCCTCCATAAAATGCACCATTTTAAGAAAGAAGTCACCTGAAATATTTTGGAAATATGATAGGAAGATATTTTAGCTTGATCCTAGTTGTTGATGTTTGTCTTTTGATTCCGATTTTGCAGCAATATAGACAGGAATGTTCATTAGGAAAAAAAAATATTCTAGTGGTTTAGATAGAGCAATAAATGTTCCCACACAGGGGTTGGCAAATTACAGCCTGTCAGCCGAATCTGACCTGACTCCTGTTTTTGTGTAGCCTGTGAGCTAAGAATGGTTTTTACATTTTTTTGTTTCATTTTGTTTGTTTGTTTAGAAGATTGGCCATGAGCTACTATCTGTTGCCCATCTTCCTCTTTTTCCTTGAAGAAGATTGTCACTCAGCTAACATCTGTGCCAATCCTCTACTATTTTACGTGGGATGCTGCTACAGCATGGCTTGATCAGCGGTGCTAGGTCTGTACCTGGGATCCAAACCTGAGAACTCCGCGCCACCAATGCAGAGTGTGCAAACTTAACCCTTACGCCACTAGGCCGGCCCCTGCTTTTTACATTTTTAAGTGGTTGTGAAAAAAAATCAAAGGAAGAATATTTTATGACATGTGAAAATTATATGCATCCATAAATAAAGTTTTATGGAAACACAGCCACACTTATTTGTTTCTGAGTTGTTTATGGCTGCTTTTACACTGTAATGGCAGAATCAAGTAGTTGTAACAGAAACCATATGGCCCACAAAGCCTGAAATATTTACTATTTGGCCCTTTATGGAAAAAGTTTGCCAATCCCTGGTCTAGCATCATCCTCTGCTCACTGCTGAATTCTGACACCCTTTTCTTATAGGCGTCTCAGCTCAACTTACCAGTACACGTCTACGGAGAAACACATCTGTTGGCACCCCATTCTGGATGGCCCCGGAGGTAAGTGGGGGCATTTTGTTCTTTGTGCTTCTTGAGTGCCTTGGTATTATGCCTTTTTATGGGAAAGTCATATGCTTTACAAAATTTTCGGGAAGAAGAAAATCCTTTATACTTATTGAATTGTAAGAGTCTTGGTTGGGTGAGTGATGATGATGAGGCTTACTCAGAAAAGCAGGATTAAGTCATAGCTAGCCCATAGGGTACCTTCATGCAATAAGGAAAAGGGGCCCCCTCCAGAAGATGCAGCTCTCTCCAAAGGGCACAGCTTGGCAAGCTCATCCAGCCTTTGTGTAAATTAGGAAAAGTCGCCTTCACTGGATAGATGCAGCACCAGTGGCACATGACTTTTTGAAGAGACAGATTTCAGCTCTAGTTGGCCTACAGAATATATGCAGTGGCCCTGGTGGTTTTTTGTTACCAGATACATAGCAAGTTCTCTTGTGTACTTTGTTGACTCTCTAGTAAAACATGGGATTTGGTCCTAATTTAGTTCTGGCATCATCACAGAACTCTCTGTGAGATGACACATGTAGAAGTCTGGAGAATCTTCCAGCTAAATGAGGCATACTCTGAAACACAAGTACAGCTTTGCATGTCAGGTCAGGATTTAATTCTATAGTGCTCTGGTCTGTGCCTGAGAGCATTTCTCTGGGATTAAGCAAATGGGTTATTTTAGTAAGAGGACTTAGGCAGTCATCTCCTTAGAGGTCTTTCTGTCTCCAGTCTGTCCCCACAGCTCTCCTTCCTCTGTGTGACTGCTATGGTGGTCTCCTGTTACAGTAGTTTGTTCAGACCAATCTGCTAAAATTTCTTCAATGGCTCCCCATTGTTTAGGGCCCTCTCATACTTGGGTAATGGACAGACCTATTTTAAAGAAAAAGAAAAGTCCTTCAGATTCATATTTTAAATGTTTCTTAAATAGGTTTTAAAAAACATGAAACTAGCATAAACTCCTTTTCACTTATATTTATAGAACTATGAAACCAAATGGGAAAAAAATTGTATTATGAAGAAACTAGAAATGCAGTAACATTCAAGTAAGCAGCTTTAATTTAATGAGACAAGTGACATTGTTTTGTGAAACTCAGTTGTCCTTTGCAGTGTATGTTGCAGAGCATGACAACACAGTTTATTCTGAGTTATGTTGTCATACCATGTACCATGTGTTGACCCAATTCTCCCACCACTTTACTCTATTTCATCTAGCATGGTCTCTTTGTTCAAACAGCAATTCCTTTGGCCTCCAACTGGTACATCTCTGTTGACTTGGTGCTGCTTTAATAATAAACATAAATGTAGGCACTGAAATTGTGTGGCAAATGGTCATCCAGATGATCCAGAATATGTTCTTACTCCTACTATTCCCATTTTATTATTATTATTATTGTTAATAATAATAAAAATATTATCAGAGCCCTGGAAAATTCCATCTCAATCTTCAAGTCTCAGCTCAAATGTAGCTGCCTTAGGAAACCTTTCCTAATCCCTGGCCAATTTAAGGCTCCTATCCCTAAATTTCCACTGCAGCCTTGATACCCTCCTTTAGCACACCATGACCATTCCATTGTAATTGTTGGCAGGCAGGTCTCCCAACTGAATTCTAAGCTCTGGCAGGGACTTTAGATGCCTAATTCTCAGCATAGTGCTTGATACAGAGTAGGAGCTCAATAAGCATCTATTGGGTGAATGAATCCATTGGTAAAAAAGCCAAAGGAGAAGATGAATTTGGAGGGTAGTTTGAGGAGGGCTTTACAAGTATTGGTATTAGCAAATTTCTCTAGATTTTGACTGATCTGTTCTTAAAGGAAAGCATTACTGAGGCCACCTAACATATTTAGGATGGCATAACATAGAAGATGGTGTTACTGTTCTGATCCACAGAAAGCTAATATTTTCAGAATCACAAAGTGTAAATAAGAGAAGCCTGCCCTTGGCTTTGTATATTTCTTCTGAGATGTTTGTGACTTTTCAAATTCAGCTGGGTTGAATTAAATATGTAGGGTGTTTCAGTAAGGGACAGTTAAGTGGTCTATGGTGAGGTTCTTTTTGCTCAAATTGCCTGGAACTTGTTCCTTTCTCAGCAGGGAAAAGCCAGCGTTGCATCTTGTATGCTGTAGTGGATATATTGAGGAGTAGGCAGATTACAGTGTGGAGACCTTGACAGTGCCTTTTAGGAGCAAGTGTCCAGTTGCTCCATGCATGCCTGAAAGATTCTCTCAGGATGTGGGACCGTGTCCAATATGCTCTGGGACACAGGCTACAGTTTTTGGGACTTAGGCCTATACAATCCTCACATTTTAATTTTCCAAATAGAGAATTACTTTTTCCAACACAGCCTCTTTTCACTCCATAATCTTCATAAGAATGTTCACAGGAGCAATCTTCCATTTGTCATCTCAGTTCCATATTTATACTCTCCTCCATGAGCAATGCTTTGTGTCAAGAGCAATCTTTGAAAGTATAATCAGTAATGGTTCAAATGAACATTGTCTTTATATGATGGCCTGCATAGTATATTGATCGTAATATGCTTTCACTTCTGCTTGTGTGAATAAGTGGTATTTAGATTAAATACGACAACAATGCATGCAGTCTCAAGGCCAGTGGAATAAAACCATTGCAGGTGACCTTTGCTTTTACTTTGAATTGCAGCTGAAAGATGCTTGATCCTATTTTATTTTTGAGAAATTGAACCAAATTATTCTTTTCCTATTTTCATTTCCATTTTTATTTCACCAGCTTGAGTAACTGCAATATTTAATTCAGATAGGCTAAACTACAAACCAGGTAGCTAATGGAATGTGACTATACCACAGTCAAATGTTGACGAGCAGTCCAAATGCACAGTTCACTGGGGCAGCTTGAAGCTGCAGCATGAATTGACTGTCATATTGTCAACACTCTCCACTTATCTCTTCTTACTGTCTCATTTGGATGCTGCTAATGTTGGAAAATACTGGTAAAAATGGTATCAACTCAGCAATGTAGGAGAAGAAAAATTTTATGGGATGCCCTTAGTGTTATAGTATTTTGAAATAATGCTACTGGGGAAATATTGCCTGACATAGTAAAAGGGTTAATCTAAAAGTTAAGATCAGTATAATTTTTTACAAACTGACTATGTCAGTAGCATATTGTGACTCAGGTAAGATTATTTTAAGAGGGAAAGAAAAACATTCAACATAGAAACTATGTGCTTAATAGATTACCCTGAGCAAAATGACTTAAACAATAGGAAATTAAATTTTTCATGTAAGTGCGGAGGTAGGTGGTTCCAGAGTTTGTTGATTCAGCAGCTCAGTAAAGCTGTCAAAAACCCAGGTTCTTAACTTGAAATCAACAATTCAAAGAGACTTATGCACCCCTGTGTTTGTAGTAGCATTATTCACAATAGCCAAGACATGGAAGCAACCCAAGTGTCTATTGATTGATGATTGGATAAAGAAGATGTGGTGTATATATACAATGGAATACTACTCAGCCATAAAAAAGACAAAATTGTCCCATTTGCAACAACATGGATGGACCTTGAGGGTATTATGTTAAGCGAAATAAGCCAGGCAGAGAAAGACAAACACTGCATGATTTCACTCATATGTGGAAGATAAACAAACACATGGACAAAGAGAACTGTTTAGTGGTTACCGGGGGAAGGGGGTTGGGGGGGAGGGGTGCATTTATATGGTGACTGACAAATAATAATGTACAACTGAAATTTCACAATGTTATAAACTGTTATAGCCTCAATTAAAACAAGACAAAACAAAACAAACAAAAAAAACCAGGTTCTTAAATTTCCCTGGCTGTGACTGCTGCAAGCTGCCAGGCTAAGTGTCCACGGGCCCAGAATGGGTAGGTGGGTGATAGTGACTGGAATCCATATGTTGTGACTCAGTGAACTAAGGGATTTCCAGTACAACTATGCCCACTGTCAGTGTTAGTATTGCTCAGCCAGTTATTTGCGTCAAACACATGCCACATAATATCCTGGTCTGTAGCAAAAAGGGATATAGCCTAGTTTATGTTTATTTATAGTGATGGCAGTGAGTTAGAGGTAGTAGATTCTTAATCTTCTTTTCCCACCGTCACATGTAGGGAAGAATTAAACTGAATGTTTATAAATGACTGAGAACCAATAAAATGAACCAAAGTTGTCATTATTCTTTTTATTGAGGACATTTGTAAAACTACGTTAAAATAATGCCTTATAGTTAGCTGGTATGCTCTGGTGTGGCCATGCTTGTTGTTAAAATATTGAAACACTTCCATTCTGCATGGAAAATGGCTGCCATCCTGAGCCCCTTGAGTGCTCCTTGGCCACCAGAGGTGCCTGTCTCTTTCCCTGGGACACACCAGACCTCCTAACGGTCCAGTAACTATAGGGGGTGATGTCTGGCAAGCAGGCGATCTCAAGGATCTGCTCTAGTGCTGTGAGCCTGCTGATGCCTGTTGATTGGCACATGGTTTGAATATTGTGCCTTCTAAGCAAGTTTACAGTGGGAAGGAAACTTTTACTTACTGAGGACTCGCTAATGTCCAGGGACTGTGATTGTGCTTTTTAAATACATTATTTTATTTCATTCTCACAACAGCTCTCTATAATAGATATTATTTTCTCCATTTTACTGCTGAAAAAAGTGAGGTTCAAAGAGGTGTAGGAGGCATTGTGCCCAAATTCACATACCTAGTGACTACTGGAGGGAGCTGTTTGGCTTTGCAGAGAGCATGGGAATACAAGTCTCATTTTACAGATGAAGAGGCTAAGGCAGGGAGAAGATAGTCTCTGTGCTAGTTAGGGGGCAGACTTGGCCTCGGAATTCAGGTTTCCTAGCCTCCCTACCAGTTGTCTGCTCTTTCACTTTAGTGTGTTCCTTGGATTTTCAGCCTGGAAAACGTGTGCCAGCTAACTGAGGTAGCTCACACAATAGAGACATGCAGAGACGTGATGGAAGAAGACACTGAAATTGGAGTGTGAGACACATCATTTTAGAAGACACACA